GGAAGCTGAGAACTGGCGACTTTGTAGTACAACTTTAGTACGCGGAGTAGCCGGGGAGCTGGAAGATGAGAACTGGCGACTTGGTAGTACAACTTTAGTACGCGGAGTAGCTGGGGAGTGGGAAGATGAGAACTGGCGACTTGGTAGTACAACTTGAGTACGCGGAGTATCTGGGGAGCTGGAAGATGAGCACTGGCGACTTGGTAGTACAACTTTAGTACGCGGAGTATCTGGGGAGTGGGAAGATGAGAAGTGGTGACTTGGTAGTACAATGACTTGGTAGTACAACTTTAGTACGCGGAGTATCCGGGGAGCTGGAAGATGAGAACTGGCGACATGGTAGTACAACTTGAGTACGCGGAGTATCTGGGGAGTTGGAAGATGAGAACTGGCGATTTGGTAGTGGAACTTTAGTACGCGGAGCAATCTGTGGAGCTGGAAGATGAGAACTGGCGACTTTGTAGTACAACTTTAGTACGCTTCATTCCAACTTGCTTTTTTCAGTGAGATTTCCTGGAGGCGTGCACGCTGCTTCTCCCCTTACCAGCAGCCCAAATGCTCACGACGATGAGCTGGGCTGTCACCGCTTGGCCGCCGGTGGGGGGTTTGGGAGGCCTGCGCGCTAATTCGTTCACTATATGTACAGTGAAGACCTTCACCAGCCGCAGACATGGACATACACACACACAGACAGGGACTCATACACACACACACATCACACACAGAGACCCACGCACTGCCTCAACTTACTCGGACACACGCACAGACAGAGACTCATATACACACGGACATAAATACACACACAGAGACCCACACACTACCTCAACTCACTCGACTTAACACTTCACACTGCACACTTAACAGATAACTCGCACTCTGACTTCCTACGTGATGAAAAATGCTTTCGGGCCACTCGTCGTCTAGTTGGTATGTCTTTGAAGCTTCTTAGTAACAAGAAACTCTTTAGAAAGAAGCTTCCAATCACTCACTCATTCCCGACCTTAGGACCTCCATTGACCTCCTTAGGTCACAAATGCTGACACCTCAGGCTGTTTCTTCAACTCAGAGAGCCGGTGTAACAGATCTATGTATAACATCGGCTCTTTGAGACTGGACAGGGACCTCGTCTCTTAAAAAACAAGTTCTTTTCGCCCCCAAAGGTTCTGTCTCCCCAAGATCGGTCGGAGTTCTGCACGGTGCTCGAGCGTGCGTCCGTTCGACCACCACGCCGGTGGTTCCGTTCAGGTCTACAGGCTCTTCCCCTCCTTTGCATCGTACGTTGCGGGCTCGGGCGAGGGCGAGGGAGGAAGACGGGTCTTCAAAGGACGGGGGTTTTGACTGCAATAGACCAATTGATGGATTGTTGCAAGTTATCGCGTCTTTGAGCACATCCAGCATGTTTTTGGGAAACCATCTCAACTACCATAGTGGGCAAGGGAGGAGGTGGGTGGACGTGGACTAATTATATATTCACATAGAAAACCCACTTGAATATCAGATCAACAGACTCATACGGTTTGCCTTCGGCTATTGGGCCTACTGCTGAGGCTACCCAGAAGTGTCTCCTCTTAATGCGCGGGCCCTGGCCGTATGTCTGTCTCTGGAGCTGACACGGTGTTTGCCTGATGGCTAGAGACAGAGAGGGGGCGGCTCTGTGTCGAATCTCCGATGGGCCTGTACTAGTATGTAGGTGTCACTTCAATGAATGGAGAGGAGGAGTGTTCATACTTTTGCTCAGCAGACGGGACCAAAGATTGGAGATTGAACACCAATAGCGCAGACACATTGAGACGCCATAGAATGATGCGCATTAGCATTGCCAGATGGCACACAGAGTTCATATTTTGCTAGGTCTTTCCAATACACTTTGTCAGGTTCACATGTGACACCGATGGCCAAGGAAGAATGTGCGCTCCATCACCGATGTGACTCAAATCTTGGGCTATGTCTCCAAGATGATGTTCTGCAACATGGAGAACCCCACGGGTCACTACAGGCGCATCCACAGGTGGTGCCCAGGTGGTGCCCAGGTCGCCAGCGACAAGTGAAGGACTCTATTCTTTCCGTGCCGAAGACCTGTTGAGATGTGTACCGCCTGATCAGTGAATTAAGAGCTGGGTGAAGCGTAACACGACACGCAGGCTTGATCTCTCAAATCCTGCAGACTATACCACAGCACAGAACCTGGTGCGACGCTCAGGGGAGTCCAAAGACAGTTGTGCGTAAACCAACGTCCTTTGCATCAACAATGACCTGGAAAACACCACAAAGCGACAGCGATGTGCCCAATATGTCGGCAAATCAGCGAAATGGCCTTCTAAGATCTTCCAGTAATCACCTTGCCAGTTGGCCTCACTTTCAGATTTTCGGCAAGCAGCTGTGAGTTTCGGCTGTAATGCTCAGCAGGAGAAGTCGCAACAGAACATATACACGCTCCATGTCAACACGAAGCCACGGGGTTTGTGGCCGAAAGGGTTTGTGGTCGAAGGACGGCTCCGGTTCAGTGGTGGCCACGGAACCAGGTCTTGCTGGACAGCTGGGAGATGTCTGTGAAGCCAGGGATACCCAGGAGAGATGTGGGACTTTAGATGCCCAGACTCTGAAAAGGAATGAGCTGCAGGCGGTGTAGCTATGTGTAGCTGCAGTGATTTTCAAGTACAACGCATATTCCCCACAGTCAATCGATGTCAATAGGCGAAGCTTTCATTCTTTGGTGCAATCTTCTAAATGGAAATTCATCGCCAGAGGAGTCGAGGCGATCGCCAGTCCCTTTGTGTGTTCCCTTTCCCATCGAGGCGTCGGCAAGGTAAAGTGGATGTCTCCCAGACCGGCAATGGCTCACAGGCGCGTCACGGCGGCCGTGCGGCGGGGGTCGGCGGCAGCTTCTAAACTCGAGTTAGCGAAGCAGCTGAAGATAGCTTCATCACAACACAGCTTGCCAGAATTTGCCAGGTGGCCTTTCTTGGAAGGATCAGGTTCCTTTGTGAGCTGATATGCTTGTTAATTATATGGTTTTACTAACCTCTTAAAGGGGACGACATCACAAGGGACACAACTTAATTAGCTGGCAGGAGCCCAGCTGATACTGGAAACCTGGGATGTCTTCCGACCGGTTGGGGGCAGGCATTTTGTGTGTATATATACACATATTTATATGCATAATGCATATATGTATGATTATGTGGCTCAAGTCGGCACAGTCGGCAATGAGGCGTCACAGCACGCCCTCCTGGCGTCGAGCAGCTGTGGAAGCGGCTGCTGGACGTTTGTGTTTGCCTTCTCAGGCTTCTCAGACCTCGCTCTACCTGAGCTGCGTGTACGAACGATGGGCATTCAAGAGACGCATGGTGGCCTTGCAGGAAGCGAGGAAGAGGCGCAACGTGTGCGTGAGGGTGCTGAACGGCAGAAGCCGGAGGAGCTTGGAGCAGCAGGCCGTACTCAGCAACCGCTCTCAGCACGAGTCGGTCTTGGAGAGCGGGATGAACTCGGTGCCCGCGCCCCCAGACGCGGCACCTCAGGCAGCATCCATTCCAGCCATGCCAGCGGTGCCGGTGTCTATGCCCCATGTGACTCACGAAGGAGCTGCGGAGCCACAGCTGGCCTATACAGACATCCCTCCCTTGACGGAGGCGCAGGAACGGGCGCACGCGCTGTTGGAGGCATCCGGACGCTTCTTGCCATTGCCCAGCGATGTACCCAAGCCCAGGAGGTATTCGCCCACCACGCATTACGTGCACAAGGACCCGAATGGACAACCCTACTATCCGGTAGAACCTGCGCGCTCGTTCGATGACCCTGGTGCTTTTGAGCGCTACGACGTGGACACTTTGTTCTTCATTTTCTACTACCAGCAGGGCACCTATCAGCAAGACCTCGCGGCCAAAGAGCTCAAAAAGCTCAATTGGCGATACCACACCAAAGGCCAGATGTGGTTCCAGCGCCATGAGGAACCCCGAATGATCACACAAAAATTTGAACGTGGTACCTATGTTTGCTTCGATCATGAAACATCGAACCAGCGATTGAAGCAAGGCTTCATCTTTGAGTATGTTTGGTTGGAATCCGCAGATGTCTAAATCGAAGCTTACTTCCCTTGCCATCGCTGAATTCAGCACGTATACTATTCAGTGCAAATTTCAAAGTTCTCGCGCACCGGTGCACAGACTCATGGCCGGTCCACAAAACATGTATGATCATGTATGTATGTATGTATGTATGTGTGTATGTATGTATGTATGTATGTATGTATGCATGCATGTATGTATGTATGTATGTATGTATACTACATATACATATATGACATATGTACATACAAGAGAAATGTTGATTGAAGTGAACCTTGCTGCAAGGTTTGGCACTTCTGTAAGGGTTGGTTCACCTTTCAGTAGCTCATAGCACGTCCTTGGCGGGACGCACGGCCGCGATCGTTCTCCGTGATCGTTCGCGTGAGCGGCATCCACCAATCAATGAAATGGGGAGGACTTTGGGGGATTCCAGATGGAGGACCTGTCAAGTGAGGAAGCTGGCCTCTGGTTCTTCACATGTGAGTTGCAGATGTGCAAGTCCTGTGATACTTTCTGCAACAGGTCCGCAACATCCTCTTCCGGGATCAGCCATTGGAGGCACGAAATCGTCCGGCAGGGACAAGATGTCCAACCGCTTCGCTTCCACAAACTGCAGCAAAATCAGCTCTTCTTCAACTTTTTGCCAAAACCCAGATTCGTTGCACCTGCATAGCAGTATCACCTGCTGCAGCAAGAACAGTCCAGGACGCCTTTGTTATGCAGCAGCATGCGAGCATCACAAGCAGTCCCTCTTCTGCAGCCTGAGCTCTTTCATTCTTTTCGAAGCACTCTCGAAACATCCCCCAGGTGGCTGAGATATGGCCGAAAAACAGATCCAAAGAAAACACCCACGGTGGCAGGCTCCGATCGTCTCTGAGTGGCTCTTGCCCGAGGCGATCCGGGGACCGTGATGTGGAAGTCGAAGAAAGACAAATCGTGCAATATCATGCATGATGCCGGGGGATGAATCTAGACATATACATACATGTATACTGTGTGTGTAACATACATATATTTATAATGTTATAAAAAATATATATGCAATCTGCTGTATTCTGCGGCGATGACGATGAAAGCGATACAGTAGGAGGCTTGTTGTTGTTCTTTGATGTTCATTTATAACTATAAAGTCAACAGTGTGACATTTGATGGGGCCGTGAAGGTGGCGTTTTCATGATGCAAACAAACTCCGAATCGCCCGACAAGATTCAAGACAGGGCCAACCAACTGTTGGCAGTGGGCACTGGGAGAGGAAGCTTGACTCCGATTGAAGCTGAAGTTTGGTTAGTACATCCAGCAGTGATGAGCGGCAAGAAAGCCAACCTGCTTGGTGGCTCTCATTTGACAAATATGAGTCAGTCGGATCAATCATGACCTTGAAAGCGTGAAGAGAGAGAGAGAGAGAGAGAGGGGTAGCACGTTTGGCACGCTCCACAGCACGCCCGAGAGCGTGGGATGTTTTATGAAGCCACGAGGCTCGAAGTAGACCAGCCACATTTCTCCTTCCATGTTCGTCCAAGAAGTAGAAGGATCCTTCGGAGACGAACCTACAGTATAAGAACCCATGAGAACCCGCGGCTTTCGAAAGCCCCGGAGACTTGTTCCTGGCTCATGTTTTCCTTCTGAATTTTACATAGTCACTCAAACCAATTCCAAATCTTCCATTGAACCCCAATGCCCAATGCTTTTATCTAGAAATAGCCACAAAAGAACATGAGGATGCTGTTCATCGGATGTGTGATCCCTCCCTTTCGATCGGCCGAACGCTCCGGAGAGGCGGGCAAGTTGGAACTGGACTATTCCAGCTCCAGGAGACCTCCAGGAGGCCGCTGAGATGAGAATGGCACCGGGAACGGAACCAGTGGGGATGTGGGTGGTGAAGGGTCACCGCATCAGGAAAGCGGTTTCTTCATGTGTCTTTCAAGGTTTTGGAGACGTACTTCTTGAAGACCATGACTTTACCCAGAAGATGACTAAGGAGTATCGTTTGTTTTGTCCTAATCGTATCCTGAATATAGTGTGAGAGTGGTGACCGGGCCAAGCCTTGCCAATCTGGAAGATTGGATCGTGCCCCCTTTGTTTTTTTTCACCAGAAACAGAAGCTACAGAAAGTGGAGAGTTTCTGCTACGTTCTTCTTTTGGGTTGGAAGCCTCACGGGTTTCGCTGATTGAACATCCAACCATTGTGCATTCTTTCTCTTTTTCTAGTAGTGGAGGGCAATCTAATACCCCGTCGTTGGCTTCTACGTGGCCAACAATCGAGCACAGTTTTCTGCCAATAATTGCTTGACGTGTGTGAAGCCAATTGCTTGGTGACGATAAAAAGAAACACCAAGCCAAGTACAAGCAGGTGAGATGCACTGGCAAGTGCATGTATTGGTTTGCTATAAAGGATAATGATAGTTTATATGATCACTCCTACCATCCTCCCATTCGTTTCCCTGGTGAAGAGTCTGGGGTTGTCTGGGAGTAAGGGGAAACAGCATGCCAGGTGCACAGGTCTTGGATGCTGACACCTTTCAACGGATGCTCATCGCTTTGCAGGTGAGCCGACCAAGTGTGAAAATGATAGGGATTGAGAAGAGTTCTACCTCAAACGTGAAATCCGGCGCTCAGAGCCTCTATGAAGGTCATGTCTTCTGTAGAACCATAGCCTTACCAGAAAATTTGAGCATCTAAGGATCTACAAAAACACCTGAGGTGGTGTGGCATCTCCATGCCAGGTGTGTGGTCGTCACTCCAAATCTGCTGGAAGGATCAGAACTTCTACAAGAAGGGTATTGCTGGCCACAAGAACGAGGAGAACGCCACAGCAAAGCAGGCCAGTTTCCCATGGTCAATTTAGGGCTAGGTCTTGGCGGTCTTGGGGATGGATTGGGAATGTTTGGGTGTCAACGTTACAACGTTAGTTGCACGCACACATTCGGCAGTTAAGTAGGAGTAGCTTCTACTTCTTGTCCATTAAGGTGAGCCACTAGCTGTATGACGTGCGTTTATGGTTTCCCATGTACCGTAGCCCTATCATCTACTGTAGCAGTGGTGGTTCTCACCACACACTCAACGTTGCGGGCAAGCGTTACTCTGTGTGCGATAGATAGCGATGACGGATTCATGGATCGAATTGCACACAAAGGTTTCGTCGGAAACCAGCACTTTCCCATACTTTCCCATCGAGTCTTCTTTCGCAAGCTGTGTTTTTTCTCTCATCCTTATCGGTGCACGCCTGTGACACGTCGCAACACAGACAAAGTCTCACGACTCCTTTCCACAAATCCTTGGAGAACGGACGGATACTGTAGTTTTGACCTCCCAGTGCGCCGTAACGCCCTTCATGAGTTACAGATTTGGTAGATTGACACTTGCTGAAACTGAAGCACTTCCCAGTACACTGCAAGCCGTTGGGTGACTTTCTGGGTAGGAATCAATCGCCGGATGACACACTCCAATCTCTTGCAAATCTCTTTTGGCAGAGGCGAAGCTTCCCCGCGATGACATGCAGGCAGGTCCATCGTTTTTGCAGGTTTTGTGGGGGAACCAAGTTCCCCCCAAAGTGCTGCTGTTTATTGTAATTGATGACTAATTGTACACTGTACTTACTTGGGCGGGCACCACTTTCTTCGTCGGTGAGAATCTCCTGTATGATGTAGGAGAAGTACCTTCTTGTCTGCACCAATGTTTGTTGGGAAATAGCTTGACGAACGACGGCGGAAGGAGATCAGTCACCATGAGCAGGAGATCGGTGCTCCAGGTCTCTGGCATCGCAATCGCTGCCAGCCTTTTGGAGGCCTTGAGGATGGTTGCGCACTTGATCTATGTCACAGCGCTTCAGACTCGAGCCTTGCTGGAGTGCTTTCTGGACCAGGGGTCTTTCATTCGGATTCACGTCGCTTTTTGCCGTCGATTGCTGTCGCCCACATCAGCATGTGGGGCTTGGTTTTAACCATCGTATTTTTTGGGCACCCGCTACGTTGCTACATCCACAGCACTTGGAACAACTCCCAGGATCTCCCAGAAGTTGCCCTGTTCAAGCGGAGTCACGATTTTAGGAGATCGACAAACAGCACCCCGGGCTCAACCCAAGAGGATGGCAGATGTTGATAGATGTTGTACCCTCATTGGTCCTTTGGCCGAAGATGCCCAGAGTTCATCAAAACTGCGAAACCTGACTTCGGTATCTTCGGTGCTTTTCGCAAGCCGCAGACGAAGAAAGATGAGACGAAGACCACACACGACCGCAGGATGAGAGTGACCGAGAAGATTGCCTCGTGACACTCTTCAACCGCAGCTGGGCGGTCGAAACGAACCGCGGTCAAAACCGAGTTCCAAGCTGTTTGATGAGATGAAGATCCTCACCGTGGAGCTGGTGGTCTCGGTGTGCTGGGATATGGGTGCTGGTGCTCCTGCGGGAAAATCGCGGGTCTTTTTGTTTGTTTGTCCAATCTCATCCTCAAGAAGAATATGGGACATAATGCGACATATGTAAGTGGAATTTTGGATTTCTCTCTTCTCATTTGCGTCGTTTTCCACATCCTCCATCAAGGACAATTTCAATGAGTCAATGTCCATCTCCTTCCCGATCCATCCCTCCGGCTACCTGAGTTTTGAATTCCGAACCAACATAGCACGAGCCTGAAACAATCCATCAAAGGTTTTCCACACTTGAATATACTTGAATATACTACTTTCTTGGCTGGGGGAGTATATGTCAACTAGCACCCACGTCACCCACGTCGACACCCAGGCATCGCCGACCTACACAATGAGAAGGTCTTCTCAGTCCGCTTTGAAGAGAAGGATCAGGGTGAACAGGCGGACGAAAAGACTGGAAGAGCTGTGTTTTTGCCTGTGTGTTTCAGGCAGAGGGGTTTTGGATGTGAACCTGGATGACCACCAACCACCCCTGGATGACCCGTGATCGAACGCCCTTTTTGCACGAGCGTTCTCGCTCGTGTCGCGGAGTGGCGCTGCCCAGGTGAACCGGCTGCGGAAGAGATTGGGTTCCTTGGTCTTCTTCCCGTGGATTCAGCCGGAGCAGGTAGTTGAGCCGGGCTCCGGGTCGATGTTACCAGCGTTTTCAGGTGCCAGGTGCCCGACTAGTAATAAGAAGCTACCAGTAGTAAGGCACCTTGCTACTAGCTTCTTGTGACTAGTAGTAATGCCCTTGTTAGAAGTAGCGATGTGCTTGTTATATACAGTACTAGTAGCCCAAATAGGGGCTTTTTCGTTTTTTCGGTATCATTGCTGAGTGATGGCAAGGATAGCCAGAAGCTGCAGAGTTAGCTTCGATCATGAAGCAGAAGACACCTCAGAGATCCTCAGAAAACTTGCGTACAGTAGTGGATAGATTGATACTGGTAGGACCATGGAGGATGTTGTTCCAATCTAAGCTAAGATCCAACAAACATGCTACATCAACTGCCCCTCGGTTCTAATTGGTGCGCTTGTTTGACCACTTTGTTTGACCAACTTCGGTATGTACATGTTTTATTTCCCTCAACTAGGCCATAGTAGGCCGGCCTACATAAATAGGGTTCCAAGAATGACATGTCATTCCCGATTCCTTTAAGAAGTCTATCCCTGGTGATGCTGGCGCCAGGCACGCTTTGCGCTGTGGCTTGAGAATGTGGATGACAGGGCTGCCCTGTGTGCCATCATTCACTTGGCCAAGAAGGAGTGATGGGTCAAAGACGGTGTTGGTAGAACTAGCCACTCAACTTGTCTATTACAAGACTATGATTAGTTTCTAGCTTATACAAACTTATGACCAACCATTTATTCAATACACATCCAGCTGGGACAGTAGGGAAGGCAACAGGAATGGCTAACGGCTAGATCTTGCATGCCGGGACGATCCAAGTGCTTCAAGGTGTTCCGCAAGTTCAGTGAATCTGAAAATAACACTGGTTTGACATGTTTTAAGCAATCGCAATGAAAGTAATATACCACACAGTTTGGCCCATTCCTCAGATTGATCATGATATATCATGATGATATATGATATACCACCTCTTTTCCTCCTCCTCTTTTCCGAGGAGAGGATGAGCAATATCCAGAAGCCTCGGTGGATCAAAGCGGACGGGACTGAGGATCCGCCGCGGAGCCCAGTTCTTGTTCACCCGAAAAATGAGAGCTTGAGCATGCTTGAGCTGGAGTTGATTCTTTTTGGAAGGGCATCAAAGGCTTCAGGGAGGTTACATGTGTGTGTAACTTGGATGGACAGTTTGGTCAGAATCACTCACACACATATATTTATCGACATATTTATATATGAAAGCAACACATGAGAAGAAAAGCAGGATGTCAACCTACTTACGATCTGATCGGGTGCAGTTTGCCCAACCCATTTCTGGAAGCCACTTCTGCAGCTCTCAAGGCTGACCTTTGGTTTGCCTCGCAGTGGAAAGCTGAGGGACCGGGGACGAAGTGATTCGGGACCGGGGATCAAGCACAATCGGAGGCATACATATATATATATATATGTATGATAGAGGGTCCTTTAGGTATTATTTCGTTACTCTATCACAAGTCGGACAACTATTTCGTTACTCTATCAGCAATGGAGGCAGGCAATCCGCTGGGCAACCTGTATCCAAACCACACTCGGCACTGGTGGCCTTTAGTCGAAGACATTGTGAGGGCAGAGGATGTCAAAGGGTTGAGGCGAAGAAGTTTCGACACCCTTGAGCAAGACCGTGAGTTTGCTGTCCATCGATGGGACCTTGAAATTGCGCATGACTCTGCAGGGACAAGCCGCCTCCCGCGCATCATCACAGATCCGCAACGCCGCTAGCTTTGGAGACGACGATAGAGCTTTGAGACGGATCTTGACAATCCGCGCTGTGCTAGCAATGCAAGCCGTTGGAAGTGAAGATGCAGCCAAAGTGCGAGAAGTTCTTGAATCTTGCTTGTCGTCAAGAGCCTTGATGCAGATCAAGTATGTATCAACAGACACACCTTGGTCGAAGTTATATTCGGAATTGAAGAAGGTGTGCCCAAATCTTGAATGCCTGTCGCTTGATCCAGTCCACTTGGCTATTGTTTGCGAATATGCTCAGTGGGACAAAAGGTCGCCAGGATCAAAAGTTCTCCGGCAGTTGTTGAACCGCATCAACCAAACAGACGAGAGCTTAGGTTCAACACCGTGGGGTCCATTCTTCCGAGGCACTTCACCACCTAGCCTTTCCGGCGAAGAAGAGCGGATGCGTGCCAGCATCTTGAGCCAGTCCATTGGCGTTGCAGGCTCCAGAGCAATCCTGGATAACATTGATCCATCGGCCCCCATGCGCTGCGGCATCACTTTCATCGAAATTCTTGCAGCCATCAGCAAGTTGTATTCTCATGAAGTTGGGCGGAAAGTGATTCGGCCTGCGCGCCAGACCGCCTGGAATGGTTGTTCAATGGAGCGCGGATGAGGCACTGTCTGGACGCGGTATCACGTGCAATCTTGCCGAGCGGTACTTCTTCCAATGAAGCCCTCCATTCCCAAGTGAATTTCCTGGACCAAAACCATTCGTTCCTTGCGCCAAAGTACCTTGAAGCTCATGCACTTTGGAAAGCTGTTGACTCATCATGTGGCCTCGTGCTATCTTTGCGACAGGCAGACTACGGAATCCGTCCTTTTGGCCAGAAGCCTTGCTAAGGATATTTGGACTCCGGCGTCGTGGTTGGGGTCTTGCTCAACAAACAAGACCACTCTTCCTTTGCACGTGGGCCCGCGTAAAGGAAGCAAAGGAGGTGAAGGCCTGGGCCGCAAAAAGGCCTGCAGCCCACAAGGTCCACAAATCGAAGCTGAAGAGAACTGCCACTACGATCAAATGACAGCATTTGCTGATGACTGCGGGCATCAGGCCAAAGGACGCCAAAGGCTAGAGGTCAGCGCTGCGCGGAAAAAGGACTGACTCCTGCCGAACTGCGGGCGATGTTTCGTGTTGGAAGGATGCACGAGGAAAGTAACTATTGCGGATGGAAGAAATCGTTCACCATCAACAGTGTAGACCCCCCAAAAAAGACACAAGTCCTAACCCCGCGCCCCCATATCAATGTTGCGCGGATGGACGCGTGAGGTAGTGGAGGATTTGCTAGGTGTGTTTAGGCCTGGCAGGCGCTGGGTGCACACTCCATCACTGAATCTCACTGGCATGCATTTCCGCTCACTCAGGCTTCAGTCACCATCTTAATTGTAGCCATTTTGGCTCAAGGCTTCAGTCACCATCTTAATTGTCTGTCTCTAGGTCCTTTCCTGATCTCATCGCAGTGGCCATGATCTTCACTCCGGCAGAAGAACGAGTTTTGGATGTGCTCTCTGCCAAAGGCTTTGATGCCCGTGACCTTGCTGGTTTGACCCTGGAGGAGTTACAAGACGAACTGCCTACTGAGGTCCCTGAACCGATTCTGGAATCACTACGCAAAAAAGTTTGGCACCTCCATTGCAAGCCTCGCATGCACACCTGGAAGCAGCTTCTTCCATCAGGTCCATGTCCCCACATATCTTCTTCGGCTTCTGCTCCCGCACGAGGCCTTCTCAAGCCAACGGGACCGCATCAGCCAACCGTATCCAGCACGCGGCAGTATAAGCACCAGAATGTTGCAGTGGCTCTGGTCGAGGCTGTTCTCCACCCAGGCCTGAGCTTTGCCATGGAAGACCTTCAACGTTCCGGGACAGCCCGCGAGGTGTGGATTGCCACCACTGCTGAATCCTTGCTCGCGCGCTTTCAGCCTGGAACGCTCGCTGCTGTCCTTCGGACTTGGAACCGGCTTGTGCAGTGGCAGCTTGAGACCGAGGCCGCCCTGGGACCAGTCAGTGATGTCCTTCTCCACCAGTTCCTTCAGGCGCAGGGACGCAGAGGTCGCACAGTACCAGCTTCAGTGTACAACCACCTACGATGGCTCACTGACAACTTGAAAGTCTCCTTCCCGCTGGACTCGCCAATGTTGAAAGACTTTACTGCCGCTTCCGGTGCCACCACTACCTGGCCTACGCAAGTGAAAACTTTGTCTGCTCAAGTTTGGAGGCATTTGCTGCAGTTGGCCACATCCTCTTCTACGTCGTCCCTTGCCCTGGCCGCTGGCTTGGTCATTCGCTTCGCAGTTTCTGGCCTGAGGTTCAAACACTGCGCTCGTGCGAGTTTTGAGCCCGAGCTCTCTTCGATACGCACGGGTGTCTGGAAGGTCTCTCACGGAAAGGATGGTATGCCTTTTGCTGTCGCTCTGCCGATGTACGTTGAACCGGGACATCCTCTACTGAGCCATGTGCAGGCACGAGTGCGTGCTATCTTAGGCGTCGGAACACCATTCTTACCAGACATGTGGTTTGATGCTCAGGGGAGTGTGGTGCTCCGGTCTGCGCCTGCGGATTATCCCCGCTTCCAGGCCTTCGCCCGCTCCCTGTTGCATTTGCCACCCCTGTCGCTGACTGAGCACGCGGCTTCAACTTTTTCCACACGTAGTTTTCGTCGATTCCTTCCAACCGTTGCGGATGCCCTCCAGCTTTGCGACTCTGATCGCCTCTGCTTGGGCAATTGGTCCGATGGCCGCAAGCTGCCTCTTCCTGTTCGGTACAGCTCGGAGCGACTGGAGTCTGCTGCGCAGGTTCGGCGGCTGTGCTTCTGGCCTCCGTGCGGTGGCCCCCCATGTCGCTCGCTTGCGGTCGAACATCGCCACCTCCTCTTGGGGTCCTGGCGTGCGTGCCATCCCGGAGCCGGATCTTGTTGAAAGCAGCCCGGTGTCCACGGAGCGAGCATCTTCCTCTGGAGGCTCTGATTCCCCTTCCAGTGATGCCTCTACGGAGTATCTGCTGGCCCCGGCCGGTGATGCTCCTACCGATCCGGAGTCCGTCTGCTTTGTGTGCCCGGCCAAAGGCCTCTGGCATGCTGCTGCAGAACCTCAAAGTCTCACACCGCTGTGCTCCAGTCGTGTTTTCCGTCAACAGGGTATTGTGTGGGCCACTGGGCTCACGGCCGCGCTGGACCTTCATGGAAAGTTCTGTGCGCCGTGTCTCCTCAAAGTGGCCCCCGAAACTCGGCTGGCCATCCTGTCCCGGGCAACGCCCCGCTCGTGATCCGGCTAGCCGCTTGCGCAGAAACAGGCACACACCGGGTCGCTGCGCTCACGTTTTCAAGTGCTTTGAAGTTTTGCACATGTTTTTTTTAATTTGTTTTCCGGGTTTCGGGCGGTGACGCATATTGTGCCTCCTGTCACCCGCAGTTTCCGTTCAAATCGTGGCTTTCCGTCCCTGACATGGCTTCTGGCGTGGAGCGCTTCGAGCTCCTGCTCGTCAATGAACACAAGGTCGCCGCAGAAGTCTTTCACTCTCTCAAGCACATGGGGTGTGAGAGCGTAGCAGACTTTGTGGGTCTGTACACCGAGGCTGACTATGAAGACGGGCTGAAAGAAGTTCTCCAGAAAACTGAGACCTTCAAGGACAATCGAATCCAGCTTGCCCGCTTGCGCGTGGCATGGGCCCGAGCCAAGCAAGACTTGAGCGCCACCTCCTCTGGCCCACAAGAAGAGAACCTCGAGGCCCCTCTTCCGCCAGAAGTTCGGCAACGCCAAGAAGATGCTTTCTTCGCCAAGTACAATGTCAGGTTTCCTCCTGACCTTCTCCCTGCAGCCACTTTGTTTGCGCGGCACTTTCGCGAACTTCGCAGACAACACAAAGAGCTCGATGACTTGGCTCGTGTGAAAAGTGCAGCTGAATCCTCGACAGCACCAGCTACCGAGGTAAAGCAACTCGGGGACTTTCGTGTGGTCCTCAAGGCTGAGCCTCCGGCCGTCAGCTTCAAAGACCTCATCAGCTTGCTTCGTGCTCATGAGATTCTCCTCAACAGCTGGGCCATGGCTGGCACAGCAGAGCGAGACTCAAAGTTACTCCCGGGAACCAAAGTCTTGGAGTTCTCCATGTCCGACAACCTGGCCTACCGCACCTTTGCTGCAGAGCGCCTTCGGCGCTACCCCGGAACTGTGACGCAGGCCATCCAATGGTTCCTTGACCGAGATCGCCAAACACGCTTGGCCGCCATCACCTTGTACCAAGACGAATGGCCCTTGGGTGAAGCTCTCAAAACAGCCTATGAATCCAAGACAGCAGTCCTATGGCAGGTCGGGGGTAGTGGCGTTGGTGCTGTGGATGACGCCTTGTCCTCCAAGCCTCCTGAGCCCCCAGCGCCGAAACGCCTCCGCGTTGACCGGGCTGGGTCCTCTCAGGTCGACACATCCACAGGGAAGACCATTTCCGCCAAGGACCTGTGCGAGAAGTGGAACAAGGGACAGTGTACTCGTCGCCAAGCCGAATGCAGTGAGAAGAAGCTCCATCGGTGCTCCTTTCCAGTTGAGGGAGGTTTTTGCGGAGCCTGGCAACACCACGCCCTCAACCACAACAAGAAGTCTCGGGGCTAGGG